GGCTTGTTGTACACAGCTGGTTGTACACAAACTTGTGGTTAGTAATACTATAGTTTTGCTTCTTAAAACCCTGTTTAAGCTCTGTATACTCACACAGGACCTTTCATTTATTTGGATTACATTGTTAATATTTAAGTAGAAACAAGTGGTTATACCATGACTGTGTAGGGATGGCTAATATAGGTGCACTGTGTCACCTCACCTTGCTCTTCATTTCACAAACCACTACCAAAAGATTTTCTGTAGCACATCGAAAAAATAGTTAAAATTTAGAAGTTCAGTGGATATTGGGTGATGAGTGTGGACAATTTTGACAAATGCGATACGTTTCTTTTTATATTTTTCAGTATATTGATAGGAGGAGAACTCTAACAACTGTATATAATTATTTAATAAAAACCAAATACGGCCCCACAGCCAAGAATACCAAATTTAATAATATTGCTGATCCTTGCCCACTCTATTTAATTTCTGAATTGATGTCCACTTATATCGCTATTGGTAACAGAGTCAGTCAGGTGTGTTTTCTTAGATGGATGCTGAACCAATAGTTTAGCATTTAATCATCACAGTAAAGAAGCCCACCCCGAATGACCTAAAGAGCCAAATCCACCAACCCAAATGCTGCAGACACAAAACCCTCCATGTGCTGCAAACAACTAGGAACGTAGAGGCATAAGAAATTAACACAGCTGCTTGACACATTAAAAAGTGATTACTGTTACTGTTGGTGTGCAGAGCTCACCCTTCTTTTAATGCGCAGACGATCCACAGTGACTGGTCTCCTCTCCTCCCACTGTATCTATGCATCTTTCTTTCTGTCTCTCTCCACTCGTTTCATCTGCCTTTCTTTCCCTCTGTCGATTGTCTTGATTGTCCGTTCGTACTCTCGTCCTAGTAAAACATGGATAGTAAACAGTGTGTCATTAAGATATTGTTTTGAAGGGAAATTACAAATTGTACATGTGAAAACACCAGCATTTAAACATCCTGTATGTTTTCATATTCCTCAGTGCAAGAAATTAAGGCTTATTTTGAACAGGAAAGCACAGTTTTAACATTAATAGCAGCTGTATTAGGCATGGAGGTTAAGCAATTAGATAGCTTAATATACACTTAAAACAAAAAGAGACCTTAATATATGAGTTATTATTTTAGAAGACATTACCTCTCTTTGGGAGAGCACCACACGTCATTGTAATCCATCGTTTCATTGTTCATAAGAAAACAATGTGGTTTTCTTTGCAGGTGATATTTTACCACGTATCAGAAACAAGAGTGAGTAACAAAACTAGCGAAGCAAACAACGAGTAGTCACCTGGTGTCTGTATTTTGTGGTCATAGTGTAGAAGAACGACGTGTATTGAACATTTAATGATTAATAAGTATTAGTGTGAGGAGCTCAGGCTGCTCCCTCTCCTCCTCAGCTGGTGTGATCGTGCTCAGCAGCTGTTTTGGTTTGTGCAAAGCAAAGCATGCTGGACCGCTGCTCAACGCCCAAAATGGCGGCACGATTGAAAAGTTTTGCCTGTCTTGTCCGAGTTTGTCTTCTCCTCAGATTTTCCCCTCTAATGTTTTAGCTGCACCGAAACACACAGTTTTCATATTCGGTGACGCGCCGGTGTTTCTTCTCATGGTTGCCGAGCGAGGCAAACAGCGGCATGGCGTTTTGCTATCACCCTCAAATTCGGGCATCACTTTCCCAATGCTAGGCTAGGCTAGCAAGCTGACTGCTGTCAGATGAGTGTTGGTGAAAAGCTTCGGTGGATATGTCTTGTCTCACCCGGACCTCCTCGCTGAGATGAATATGAAGAAGAGGACATTTACGTAGAGATGGAGGATGATGTGAAAAAAGTGAAAAAGGTAAGTCCCGGCGATTGAGGTGACGCTACTTCGTGGAAGTTGCCCGGCTAGCATGCTAACTTAGTAGCTAGTTAGACCGGGGCTAGCTAGCTTAGCTGTTAGCCGGCTAAGTGGAGTTAAACATAAAGCAGCGTGTGTTAGCTTACACTCGTGGAAACACTCGTTTTAACACACCGACATGTTTTCTGTCTTTTCCCTCAACTGGTGTTAATTAAACTGACACAATGATTCAACTTGCTGAAGGGCTTTAACTTCAAGTGGAGCGTCACAGATTTAACTTGATGGAGCGAGTGAAGTTTTCCAAGTTAAGTTTAAGACGAGTATTATTTGAAGGAGTTGTGTTTACATCATGAACATCATCTTCAACACTTCTTGGTTGAATGTCTTGAAATGGGGCAGATTGTGGTGAATCGGCTGCAGAGGAAACTATGGATCACTGTTGTGTATCTAGTGAGTTCACCCTTTTTACTAGTGAAGGTTTGTACAGGTGTGGTTCAATAGAGACCTGAGTTAATGCTGAAATGACCCTTTACTCCTTGTTTATACCATCCAGCCCCCTCCCTCACATATACACCACACACTGATCCTTGATTTTGAAGGCAGATCCTCATGTTTAGACATTTCTTTGGGCGACACGATGCCTCTATCTTCTCTTCCTGCTGTTGAAAGTGACATTCTCCCTCAGTTTTCCTGGTTAGCACAGGAGAAAGCGTTATTATATTGAGGAGAAGTGAAGTGTCTGAACCCCTGAAGCTAACATCTTTGTTTGGTTGTGCTGCTCATGTCCTCATCTTTCCACTGTGACAACATTAACCCTCCTCTTGATTTGAGGGGGGATTTCAGTAAGGTTGGCATGGCAGGGAAATGTTTTTTTCCACCATGTCCACAAATCCAAAGTGTGCTCCTAAGGTTGATGAGACACAGTAATGATAATTACTGCAATGTGAATGTACTGGTGTGACGGGAGATCATGCAGACAGAACAGTTTTGAGGATTAAGGATAATGAGGATTTGTATTGCTCTAAATACACTATACCTCCTTTGAAGGCTGTAACCCGATGCTCACATAGCATTCATATATATCCTAGTTATTTTGTTATTTATATAGTAAATATTGTAAAGTTGATTTAAGTCAACTATATCCAGTACAACAGTTCCCTTGATGTCTATCCACTAAGGTTTTATACATTGACACAAGTTTCTGCATTGAGGCAAATAAAGCATTTTTTTATAGCTCTTTTAGTTCTTAATTCACTTGTTACCAATTCCTGCCTCCAAGGACTATGACCAAATAGGTGTTTGCACAGATTTGAGTGTGCTGATGCTCCTTTATTGAGTTTGAGCCTTTTGTAAATTCAAATATCCTCAAGTGAAAGTTATTCCATCTCAGTTTTCTGCTTGTTCATGTCACATTGGTGCTACCTCAACTTTTAGGCACCATGTTCAATTGTACGCACAATTCTTCTTTCTGCCACTTGGTGGTGACATTTAATAGCTTTTGGCCCAGCTGTATTTTCATATTCACTGTATGGAGCTTTATGAGTACAAACCCCTTTATATTGGCATGTAATTTATATAAGCATATACGATGAGGATAAATAAAAATTTGAATTGATTTTGCAGCTGAATTACTGAAATACAGTAATATAGCACAACAAATGTACGTGCACTCACTCATAAATTATATATTCTTGCTATCAGCCCACTTGTAATGGTATGAATATCTTACAAACAAGTTAAGAGTGAGTGAGCAGCTTTACACACTGGAAATGGTACAACTTAAAGATCATAGCATTTCACAGAAGAAAATTTATTCATGTACTTGGACAAATACTCTATGAAAACAAATGTATTTCGCTATGAATGGCTTTTGCATGAACTAGGAATAGTGATTAATTTTAGGATTGTATTACTGTGAATATGGTTAAAACAATATAAAAAGCAGCATGTATTATCGTAGTCTGACCTGTACTTATTATGTAGGAAAGTTTAAAAGTCTTCTTTCACCTGTTGTGACTAGGATCATCACAGCACTATCCTCACTCAAGTTTTTCTGCAAACACACTTTCACTATAAATGACACGTGCTGTGGACATTCTCTGGGGTCACATATGGTAGCTCTTGTCTCACATTTCTCAAGCATAAGCCATAAAATGTTAATGCACGTATCTTCAGCTACATGCTGTTAAATAATGCACTGTAGGTTGTGTAGCTCTATGCAGTCTGTGATCAAGTGTCAGCACATCAGGCAGCAGTCACATAATGGGAATATGAGTTGAAATTATATTTCAGATGTTCGGCATATTAAGTCTGTAGTGTAAACAACATTGCAAATATGATATCTGTGGTTAGCAGAGTGGGTTATATACAGTCAGTCCAGCACAGTGTGTTTCCAGGGTTTAGAAGTAATGTGCATGAACCTTCAGTTGCATAGTCCTGAGTGAGTAAGTGATGGAAGGGAGCATTCATCACATCATAATAGCATCATAACACTCTTTTAATCCATCTGGCTTTAACATATGTGGATTAGGCTTTCGAAGCAAGTGCACAATGTCACATGTTTTCAATGGTTTCGACTTCAACACAAATAAAAGCGTGTCATCACAGGAAGTTGTGGCTAGTCCCCTTCCTGTTCTTGTGCCTGCGTATAGAGACGGAGTCACTTCACTTCCTTTGTGGGGGGCCATACCCCTCTCACACACGCCCGGGGAGTGTTTGATCCTCAGTGACAGTTGGCAGCTGATTGAGCGAACAACAGGTGACTCTTTAGACATTGTGAGGGTTGCAGCATCTGTGTCCAGGGTTTGTGCTTGACGTTGAGTAGGCGACTCTTGAATCGTGTTCATGGATTACGAGGTAGGCTTTCTAAAAATCTTTGAATCTAGAAACATGCTCTGAATTTGCTTTGTGCTCAGGCTTAGCATCATGAAAGCTTTGTCAAGGTTTTTGTTAAGTCCTTGTTACAGAGCTGTTAAATAAAGCTAAAGTGTTGACATGGTGCTAGTTGATAATAGTGTTAAATAGTTACCTCTGTCAATGTGGTTATGTTTTCACCCCTGACTACTTGTTGGTTTTTCAGCAGGATTATGCAAAAAACTACTGTTTTTCACACAAAGCAGCAAATTCAGTATATTTATTGCACTCTCTTTAACACTGCGAGATAGGACGTTTTTATGCACCAGTTTTCTAGGGAATATTCCAGGATCATGATGAGAAAAATCTAAAATATTAAGAGGACTGTTACCTATCAGTTTGTGCAATTTGATACAGCTTTCTTGTCTTATTATTTGATGTTTTACAATCAGTCGTAACACACAGCATAGCTTCTACAGAAACATTGTAGAAAAAGAAAGTACATCTATTTCTCTTGTGACATATTTACTTGTTGATGGTCCTTGGTAGATTTTTTCGATTTTGATTGTCAAAGATGTGATTCTGTTCAATTCTTGCAAAGTACAGAGTGTTTGCATGCACTGTGGTTGATATTATACACACTGGGAAATGAAAATAGCTGTATGTGATCTGTCAATGAGTCCATCCAGCACAGTCAGGGGAAGCAGGCTCAGCAGAAATTACAAGGAACACAAGAACCGCAGTCAACAGAAGTTTGATACAGCTTCCTCCTGGGTTGCTTTAGGACATATATCTTGTAGCTGCGTTGGAAGTGCTTTACTGTGTTGCCAGCTTGTTCTAACTGCATCATGTGTGTATTTTTGACATAAAAAGTCCTGTAATAATTAATGATATGCTGTTAGATTGCCCTTGGCTTATAATTTAAAATGCATGGCCTCCTATGGTATACCCCATAAACTGAATAGTGTATTTGGAAAGGTAACATGGCAACAGAAGTGCACACAAATGCTGATGCATCACCACACAGACAAACTGTCTTCTAATTTCTCCTCGCTCTCTTTGTCTTTATTCACCAGCCTGGTATCGTGTCTCCGTTCAAGAGAGTCTTCCTGAAAGGAGAGAAGGGGAGGGACAAGAAGGCACAGGAGAAGGCCACAGAGCGCAGGGCCCTACACACCTTCCCGCTCTCTCAGCCGGATCACCGCATCGACCCTGACATCCTACTTAACGACTACATTGAGAAGGAGGTCAAAGTGAGTGATATAAGCAGAGAAACAAAATCCTTGCCTGTTTATCAAAAAAACTGCAGTGCCTTTACAGTCAGAAGGAAAAGATGGAGGAATCTTAGGTGTTTGTTTTTATTTCATTTACTCTATTAAACACTTGCATATGTATGTTTTGTGTGTTGTGTTTTATTTTTTCTCAGTACCTGGGGCAGCTCACATCAGTTCCAGGATACTTGAATCCATCAAGTCGCACAGAAGTGCTACAGCTCATTGATAATGCAAGGGTAAGAATATCTGCACAAGGAGATTCAACCTGATACTATTTGTTGGTCTCCTTCTTCCTATCTCTACTTTTACATTACTAAGATAACTCATAATAGTATTTGGAATTA